TAGTTGAAGAGTGGGTTATGGAAAATTGGTTTTTTGGCAGGTAAGTAAAACAACCACGGAAGTTTTTTCTGAAGCTAAAGACTGTATTAGTAATGACAGACATTTTCCCTCTCCTCTTAGTCACTTGAATTCTAATAATATTTCTTCTATATTTTACAGCTGTTCAATAAGTAGAGAATTTTGCAATCAGCGTACTGTGAAAAGGGCTGCACAATACATTTGTATGAAGATACAATATCCTTGGATTATAGCTTAAGTGAAGCTGCATGCAGAGGGGATCAGAGAGGTGAGAAACTCTTATTTTTGTCATATTAAAGTTAATAGAAACACTGTGTGTGCTGGTGTTGTAAATATATATACAAAAATGGTAAAAGGTTAAGGTAGATCTCTGAACAAAACCAAAATAACCCATCACCTGTGCTTATGTATTATGGATGCATTCTGGATATGCATTCATATGGATACCATTGCTCTGTGGCACCAGACAATGCTGTAGACACCAAATGAAGTTACGAATTCCGTTCATATTCTAAATTTCTTGTACAGTGTTGGAAAATGACAGTCACCGCTTCATCCTATGGCAACTTTAAGACGTAACCATGCAGTGAACCTATCCTTCAGGTAAGCACACAGCTCACAGGAGAGAGGGCCTGAAGAGCTGAGTAACACTTTCAAAAGAAAACTGAGAGCTTTCACGATTTGTTTTGTGTGTTTTGAGGTTTTCTTACAAACTTGTACCTTAAAGTATTTCACTATGTGTACTGAGATAAATTACTTATACTTGTAGAACAGTGTGTGGCTTGGGACAGAAATCAGCTAAGTTTAAGTGATTCAAACTGGCTTTTTCTGTTTTGCTTCTGTTTGAAGCAAATTTTGCTTTGCGCTACTATTTCGCTTCTGTTATGATACTGACTGGCATACTCAGAAGCCTTTAGATAAAAGACACTGCAGCACAGCAGACTATGGTTATGACTGTTACTTATTAAGTTACCTTCAACTAATGGCTTTGCCACAGACCTTTCAAGTGATCTTGCTCAATTAAATTAAGCCCTGTGTCAAATGAAAATACTGGAGATTACTTCCATTTTCTCTTTGCTGTCTACTTAGCCTGTCGGGTATTTGATTGTAATATAATGGTTGTCACATATGCGACTATAGCAAAATGAAGCCCTGATCTTGAACAGGGCCTGTAAACAACGTTGCAACATAACAAAATTAATAGTTTGACATGGTGATGCTAGAACTTGGTGTGTATATTTTAAGTAAGGGGACACCTGGTCCTCTATAGTCGGAGATATCCCTCGGTCAAATTGGTCAGGTGAAATGAGGTCCAGTTCCTCCAGGCACTATATAAGCAGTATCTTGAGAATTTACGGTCAGAAACTGCCTCGAAGAAGATTTTTTTGTATAGAGGAATTCTCTGCTTTCTTAATGCTGCTGGTGAATGCCTGCCTGCAGCAGGTCTGCCATCCTCTACTCTGAAGTGCCTTTCCTCCCCTTCTGCTTCTTTCCCAGCCACCCATTGACACGATCAGATGGGATAGAGAGTGGCAAGGGTTGCTGCAGAAAGGGGAGGCATGGTAGAACAGAACTCTGACATTCCTCATACCAAATTAAAATCAAGTGCTGTTATTTAAAGATACCCTCCTGCCAGGTGTAGATTAGCCCAGGACTGAGCTGCTGAGAGTGTTGGGGACAATTAAAAAATTTAATTCAAACCTACCAGAATTTAAATTCAAACCATCTTTGCTTTGCCTGCAAATGACCATAGCATCAGTGGCAGCAGCTGTGCAGCCTGTGGGCAAAGTTCTGCTGTTTGCATGTCCGTGCCAGGAAAGTGCTCCTTAGCCTGGGAGGAGGCATGGGGACGTGGCTGTGCAGAGCTCTCTGTAGAGCCCCCTTGGCCCTGTGTGTATGCACCGAGAACGGCTGCGAACTGCTGACTTGGTGCATGAGAGGGCTGTAAAGAGATAGTCATATGTGGAACTATTTCATACTCATCACTGTTTTGTGAAGTGTTTAATCATTCCACCACACGTAATATATGGAATTAATAACTTCATGTGATGTCCTTTACACCTGAGCAGCTAAACAGGCTTTTTTGGGAAAAGTGTATTAGATATACATCACATGAACTTATATCACCTAGACACTGTCACACAGAAGCTTTACAGATAAAAATTACAAGTATCTTGGACAACTCGGGCATTATTTTAGAAATGTTAGGCACCCGTTCTGTGTTCCTGGTACAATGTTAACGGGTTGTTTCCCGTTAGGTGCTGTTAACCAATCCAAATATTTTACAGCATGGGAAACATTCACTGCTTGTAAGTCTCTATTTTCATATAATGTGCAGGTTATAGTTTCAGGAACAAGTCAGTGCCCATTAATGCTTCGTATTACATAAGTGAACCTCAACATCCAAGGCAATGCAGATCTTCTTTTAACAGTTCGGTTCTGATCTTACTTATTATTTTTTACTTGCACACATACAGACCTTTCCCTGTTAGGAAGCTAAGAGATGCAGGTGATATTTTTTGCTGCTAGTGGTGCATAATAATTATCAGAAAGAGAACTCCAGCAACAGTGTTACCAAGTCCATTTTGTTAGCTGAAGTGTAAGTGTGCTTTTTTAGTTCTTAAAAGATATATGCTAGTATACATATATAAAAATAGTCTCTCTTAATTATTGCAGAAATAGATAAGTTGCTGTTACTATCAATACTTCATGAATATTGTGGTAACAGCTGATTTTAGAGCACTGATGGTGTCAAAACAGTTCCACAATGAACCAAAATTACACGTATTCTCAGGATACCAGTGTGGAATTGCACTGAACTCGTAGAGTTCTTAGTCCTCTAATTCCCAGAGAGGACCATGGTAGGTAATGGAAGGAACTTTATAAAGCAAGGGATTTCTGAGAAGAAAGTCACTCTGTAGCTGACTGCTAAAGTACTCAAGAGTCTGGCATCTCTTGTGCATTACAATTGGGTAGTTGGCATATTGCTCGCAGTAGGAGACACGCAATATTGTTTGTGCCCTCTTTCC